CCAGTGATTAGGACTGGGCTGCATCTCACAGTGGCAACTTATTATTGTCATTTCTACATAAAGATTTTCTTGGGAGAGTGTTTAAAATTGAACTGCGAAATATTTGATGCTCCTAAGTATTATCTTTTTCTTGACAGCCAATTTTGAAAGACACCCAAAAAGAAGAGCAACTGAACAAAAGACAAAATTGCATCTTCATACAAATGGTGCTAAACATTACATCTTCATGTTATTGAACAAAAGAGTTATTAACAATTGTTAAGGGAGACCATGAAGGGTTATGAAACTCTGTTGTTGTCATCTTTAAGGTCTGAAAACATCTTCTGAACATCTATCATCTAACCAGATGTCTCCTTTGGGCAGGGCGACTTAGTTCTGTCAGATCATAGTTTAGATACCAGGTTGGAACCAGACTGATGCAGTGGACAGGTTGGTCCTGCTGTCGAGTGTCCCAGAGTTATTTAGTAATTTAACCAGCGTGTTTTTCTCCTCTTACCTCTAACAGATGCACTGCAGGGGCTGAACAACTTGTCAGTCAGCATCAGAGTCAAATGACAGGAGGCAGCTTTGTTACCTAACCAGCATTTCATACTGGTAAGAAATCAAACATGAAATGCTGAGAATGGTTGAAAGGGGACCAACAGTGAATGTGTGACTCACAGACTGTAGCATTTGAACCTTTGCACCTTCAATTAGTCCAATTGCTTGATTGTGTTTTGCTCATGTGCATTATTGAAAGGTGTTTCCAATATTTCATGCCCTCAACTGTGTAAGTAGAGAGAATAAAGATTCAGTATCAAGCACGTCATTCTAAAATAACCGACCCTAAATGCAGTCAGATTTTGCATTGCAACTTTATGCATGTTTCCATCAATTCTTGTAAAATATAGCAACATTTTGTCTTTTATTTCCTTGTTCTTGAAAAAAAAAATTGTAGCTGTATGAGTCTTTTGGTTTGCTTTATCATAAATTTAATTCCCAAATGCTAATTTTGCCTTTGATTTGATCTCTAATCTGTGCTATTTGTTATTTTTCTTTAAAAAAAATCAAAATAAAAAAAAAAAACACTTCAAAGGCAATATGATTGTCCGGCAGCAAAAACCTTCAGAGAGTCTCCCTCCTTCAGCTATAATAGCTCCTATCAGACATGGATATCACTGATTGAGTTTGCAGAAAAGCAACACACCTCTAATATCTCATTCTGTGCGATTTACAGGCAGACCTCAACCTGCAACAAACCCATCAGTAACTGTGCATGCACTTTTTAAAATTACATTTCAAATGAAATATGATTGCCCTGCAGCAAAAAACTGCTTGCTTTCTTCAGAAAAGGAAACTGTTGTTGTTTCTTGGTTTGGCTTCTAACAAAAGAAAAAGGTCACACCTCTGTTTGGCATCCAGGAATTTAAATACCCTTCCTTTTTTGCTGATTTTGATCCTCCGTGTCAGTCATCTCCACCCCAAGCCTGCAGAGGAATTCAGACCTGTTGCTCTGGTGGAATGACAGGTCTGTTTTAAATGTTATAAAAGCACCTGTCAGATTTACACTTATTATATATCAAGTCTTGTACAGACAAATTCTGTACGAGACAAATTGATGCAGCGATTAACTGTATTGCCGCTGGTGCTGTTTGTGTGCAGTTAAACTATTAATTCTGACAGTTTACACGAGCGAGTCGTGAAACCCTGGAGGAACACCATATAAGTCATCACGTTTCTCTCCTGGCATTTATTACCGGTGGATTAGTCACCACTTGAGGATTTCACATTTGTTGTTATTGTGCATAATAGGCAGATTAGGTTAAATCTTCCATTAGCAATGACAAACTTTATGGAGACGAAAGTCTCTCTTTCATGAGCTCATGGCCTGACTCATTGCTCCCTCAGGTGCTCTGTACTCACCTCTTTCGTCTTTCTGCATACATGCACTGAATGTACAGTACGTTGTTGGCCCAGTGAATTACTACAAATGTGACATGAAGTGCCATGCAAGCCTGACTTGCTCCAAGAAAACTCACAAGTGACATCAAAATAATACCATAATAAGTACATGAAACAAATGTTCTGTTTAAAGTCCCTTACACAGGCATTAGGATACAGTTTGGAAGTAATTCATTCAGTGCACTGTTACAACACTTGCCTGCAGGCAGTTGGATGAAACACAGAGAAAGACATTCAATTTTTGTTTCGATCAGGTGTGAACATATTTACTCTTCATGGTGTTCCAGCGCACAGCGATCGACAGAGAAATAGTGTATAAATTACATAATTTGAAGGCAGAACAAGTCTCTGTGAAAAAACAGCACACTGTTAACCCTGGGCTATCCATCAATCACAGTAAAGCAGCCAGGTATGTTATATTTTACTCCTTTCACTGTTGTCACAGGAGCCTCGCCCCATACCTCACACTTACATCTCTGGAAAATGTACTGTATGTTGTTACAACATTCATTTGTTAGGACTTTTTCAGGTCTGTGTTTGTGACGCTGACAAAGGTTTCATTCACATGTGTGGATCTGGAAAGGGTGCTTCACAAGGGGGCTGGCCACTGTTAGCCTGATTTTAAAACAGCAGCCTGCAGCGTTGATGGTGCTTCCTGTTTCTACAAGAACGGTGCACATTCAGCATGACTTTACTAGTGATTTAGGATGCCTGCTAGGGGCAGATCACACAGATGTTTGTGAATGAATGAATGCTGTAGTATTTCAGTGAATGAATGCATACATTCATTTTAATCGATGAACTAAGATTATGGATCCTGCAGCTGCTTTGTGTTTACTTTAACCAGTAGATTTAGTGATAAAACCAGCAGTTTCTGTTGCAGCAAGGTTTGCTTGTTTTACAGCAGAGGCAGTACCAGAGCTGGCAAACATTTAATCATCTCCCAAAGGTTCAAGCTAAATCACTAAAATGTTAAGATAAGACCAAAGAAAAGGCACTTCGATAAGAGCTAGATTATATGAGTTAAAGCTGAACATGAAAGAACTTTTCTTTTTTTGTATCACAGAGCAAACAATGAACTCAAAGCAGGATGATAAATGTGTTATTTAAACTAATCATCAATAAACAAGATTCTGTGTGCACAACCGTGCATGTATAACCTTTGACCACAAAAATATTAGAAGTATCTGCATGATTCATCAGCTGCCAGTGTGGAGAGGAGCACAGTCTGAACTTATTTATGCAAGTAGAGTCAACGACACTGCAGGAGACTGAACAGCAATGTCTGTCAAGTTTACCAACGGTGCTTTGGTTGGCATTTGTATTGAACTGTTTAAGGTTTGTCCTGCATCATTTGTCTAATATGTGTACTTCAAAAAAACACACAGAAACATGAAGGCAAATATGATGCTTCATATTGTAACTATGACATCACACCGCTTAGAGGCCGCAGCTAATAATGCTAACGGGTGCAAACATGTTAGCATGCATATTGTTATAGTGGTAATTATTACTGCTTTATAGCAATTTGGACATGTTGGGAAATAGGCTTATTTTCTTTCTGGTGAAGAGTTAAATGAGATGACTGGTATCACTCCTCCATTTAATATAAGGTTAGCTAGCCTAGCTTAGCATGCTGGGAAGTTGCCAGACCACGAACTATCACTCTTTGAAGCTAGCTGCTCCAAGTCAAGATAAAGTCCTGTTCATAACCTCCTTAAAAGGGCAAATTGTCATTTTTACACTTGAATAATACGTATAAATTGAACAATGTGTAAATGACTGAGTCTTAGAGGTACTACTTTGGAAGAATTCGGACAGAATTAACTTGCTGTTCCCTCTTGTGTCCAGTCTTTGTGCTAAGCTAAGCTAACAGTCAGCTGGCTGTAGTCATGTAGTTTACAGGTGGGTATTTAACGCTCAAGAAAAATGTCCAACTATTTGCTACACTTTTACTTAAGTAACAAAGTGAATGTGAACTTCTTGTACTTGTTTTGCAGTCTTTTTTATACTAAGTAAATGCAGAACATAAATCAGGGTCAACCTGAGGAAACCCAGACAGGTTTTCTATGCAGGTACAGTCTGAGTTCTGAGAAGATATTTAAAGCATGAAAAGCCTTTCCACTATCACTGCCATGTCATGTCGGCTGTCGCTGTCACCACTGTTGTGAACATTTGCATACAGACTGTCTGTGTCCTCTATGTAATTTTTCTTTTAGCAGTAAGCTAATCAAGCTTTCAAACCTGAACATGCTCCAGTCTGTCGTCGCCGGCACATTAGGAGTGATGAACAGTGGGTGGGATTCTGGCATTTGCGAAGGTTTCTGTCTTTACTTTCATAAGAGGTTGTATGGCCTTGGGCGCGGCACCACCACCCATAATTCAAGTTCAAACCTGTTCGTCGATGGGCTTAAAAGACCTCTTAAGTAATCGTTTTCTTCTAGAGAACAACTTGATGCTTCTCGGATAAATTGCATATGGTACTTCAGTACACTCACAGATTCTCAAGTATGTTGAATTGCTTTGACATATGACTTTATAGAATTCTTTGAGAATAAGACTGTACATTGGATAACCTTGTTTCATGCATGAACTTTAAAAACCTGCTTTTTTTTTACCTTAAGGGATTTAAGGTGTGAAGTGGGAATGTGAGGTGACATTTGCTGACATTTTATAGGAATGAATGACCTTCAGTTTCTATTGTCATGGAGAAACTCCTGAGTTATTTCGTATCCGGAGTGAGGCGGGCAAGGACTTGTCGGGTGTTCCATAGACAAGATTGATTATATGGATTAGCATCACCTCAGTCATATAGGTGTTTCCTGTTGAGCTCTATAAAAAGTGCAGCTTGTTTGTGTTTGTGTGCGATGATAAACCATACCAGTTAAGATAGAAACTCCCCTCAGGCTGATTACAAATGTTTTTCAGCTGCCATTTACTGTAATGTTTGCTTCAGTATTTTCTTCTAAATTTAAGTTTTAGTTTAAGTTTTCCTGCGAAGAACAACTAAATAACTTTACAAAGCAACATCTCATAACAAAATACAACAGAACACCATGCAAATTTCTCTTTGAGGGTTTATTGCTGTGCATACAAGACTCCAGGTGTTGCCAACAATGACAAGGTTTATTCAAATCAGAAGTCACAAGGACTTAAGTGACTTTATCACCCTTAATTGTTTAAGTACAGCAGGTTTGGCATAATGGCTCCGACATTGCCATAGTTTATGTCTCTCAAAACGAAAGCATTTTTTTTTATTGCATGTTTTATTACAGTGTGAATTACTGTGTGGGTTGACGTGAGAGCAGTGCTTTGTGTTGGATGAGTGTGGAGGAGACTCAGCAAGGGAAAACAGGTGTAACAGTGCCACCTGCTGGCTGAATAAATGTGAAACATGATTGGCAGTGACTCAGGCTACAGAGCTCATTAACCTGCAAGAGTTCTTTTAAGAAACTTTAATATCCATTCGCACCACTTCCTTAAAGATAGAAATGTTTTCGCAGCTCTTACAGTTGAAACACACCCTTTGTTTGATGACTATTAGAAGTGGATAACAGACAGAGAGGGTGTGCTTTTTCTTTATCTCCAAAATCATAATTCCGTCAAAAGATGTTGAAACTTTCACTCTTCAGCCACAGCTTCGGCCTCCACCTGCTCCTGCTCCTTCTTCTCCTCAGCAGCCGGCTCCTCAGCTGCTTCCTGCTGCTCCTCTTCTTTCTTCTTCTCTTCCTCCTCCTTCTTCTTCTCTTCCTCCTTCTTCTCCTCTTCCTGTTTCTTCTCTTCGGTCTTGACCACCACAGTTTCGGTCTTGGTGACTGTGGTGCTCTTCACTGCTGCTCCCTCGAGGGCAGAGCCAGAACCGCTGCCGGCCTTGAGTCCATCAAAAGAACTGCTGGCGTAGGACGGGGTGCGGGAACTCTCTAGGCCGTAGGCGTTGTAGTTCAGAGCTTCACATTGAGAAGAAGAAGAAACCAATGATTAACTTGGACACACTGTAGTGGGCAAAAAATTTTAAAAAGCAGATATTTGGAGACAATATCAGCGATCTCTCCTAATGAAATTGAGATTTTTCTAAGTGACAAGAAAGTTTAAAAACACAGATCTCATGTTTGGGTTATCGCTGTAGTTATGCCAAGGTTGGCTTTGTCTCGTCAACAATTTGGATGAAGTTGCAAGTGTGATGTGACTGAAAATCTATAACTTGATTTAGGACGATATGAAGCAGTCGTTATTATTTCTAAGATATTTGCTTTCATTATCACAGATAAATTACTTCATGTGTGCACCTATGTGATAATAGGTGCACATAGGTATTTACTTAGTGTGAAGGCTTTGCTTTCAGGAGGCCTAGTTACATTTCTATGCAGTTGTGATAGTCATTTTGTTTATTTGCATCACCTCATCTCAAAACCAAACTTTCGTTTCTAACATCAAAACAGCAGAGAAAAACTTCACTCTGTGTGTGTGTGTGTCAGCAAGGAGACACTGCATCACATTTACTAATTCCTTGACCTGAGACCCAGAACAGGTATTATGGAGTTAAAGTTACAGTATACTAAATATGAACTTACAAGTCTGCTTAGACACAGTGGTCTTGATTCCAGTTGCTAGTCTGTAGATAGACAAAGAAGAAGCAGAATAGTGTAACATAAACAAAACATTACTGCTGTACAGGATGCAGTTATCAATGCTGCCACAGGAAGGTGCAATTTACCTGCTCTCTTCTCCTTCCAACAGTTTCCTGTAAGTAGCAATCTCAATGTCCAGACCCAGCTTCACATTCATCAGTTCCTGGTACTGGCGGACTTGCAGTGCCATGTCCTGCTTGGCTCTCTGAAGAGCCTCTTCCAGGTCTCTGATGCGCAGTTTAGCATCCTTCACCGCCAGTTCGCCCCGTTCCTCAGCCTCAGCAATCTGAGCTTCCAAACTGTTTCGCTAAGAGTGGAGAAAGACAAGCAGAGTGAGGTGCAGCAAAAAAAATTTTTTAAATAAAATTAAAAAATAATCGCCTTTATAAGGATGTTGATGGATTCAAACCAAAATGAAATGGAAAACCAAATCCTGTCAGTGTAAAATATCTGTCAGTATATAAAGCTGTAAACTTGTTTCCTCACCTGTGCTTTGACCATGTCAATTTCAGACTGGAGCCTCATTATCCTGCGGTTCATGTCAGCGATCTCGGCCTTGGTAGATTTCAGGTCATCTCCATATTTACCTGCTGACTGCTGCATCTCTGCATACTGGTACAAACAGAGACAGGTCACAGTGATACTTCAAAACAAAAACAATCCTGGTAAGTTTCAGTTGTCTGTCTATTGGCTGGTCAAGTTTGGCTGATGTTTGTTCTTTTTCACATTTTTCCACATGTTTAATTTGACATGGACATCAGCAAAGTACTTCAATTGCAACATATTTTGGTGTGCATCGCCAAATTCACTGTGTTCGCTCTCTGGAATTTCACTTGTGCATATGGGGCTTTAGAGAAAATTAACATAAAAGTAAAGTAAACTAAACTGAAGTATTTTGAAACAAGGACAAATGATAGAAGAATGGATATTGAACTACCTGCCACATTCCTTGAGTGAAAATCATGTACTGTGTGACTAGGAACACAAGTACTCATATTCATGCTTTTCAGTTGTATGCTTTAACCATTACCTGGTTGTAGGCCTTATTTTAAATGACACAAAGCATAGTCCCACCTTGCTCTGGTACCATGACTCAGCCTCTGCTCTGCTCTTGTTGGCAATGTCTTCATACTGGGCACGCACTTCAGCAACAATGGCGTCCATGTCCAGATTACGGCTGTTGTCCATCTCCACCACAACAGATATGTCCTTGATCTGGCTCTGCAGCTCACTGATTTCCTACACAGGATAATAAGTGAATACGAGCAGGGGAGGATGACAAGGAGAAACATAACTTAGCTGATTCTCTGTGCATGAACATTATCCATAATTGTGGAACTGCTAAGTGAAATAAGGTTATTACTGCATCATAGAGTTGCCTCAGGAACTCAATCTCATCAGAGAGCCCGTCTACTTTTGCCTCCAGCTCCACTTTGGTCATGTAGGCTGCATCTGTGTCCTTCATTGGAAAAAGATAACATTCATTGTTGAATATAGCCTCAACCCAAGGTTAAAAACATGCCATTGTGCGGAGTCATTGTGCTTGAACGTTATTTATAGTTTCAGTTTCAACCTTTTGCTAATAAATCTGCACAGACCTTCTTAACGAGGACAAAGTTGTTCTCGCACTCATTGCGCTTGTTGATCTCGTCCTCATACCTGGAAATATAAAACATTTTAAGTCCATGTTTAATGGTAACAGGTAAAAGCAACTTAGGAATATGCGGCATGTGTAAATATAGTAAATATCTGATCAACGCACGCTGTCATTGTAAAGACATGCAATATGTCTTCACATATATATATTCAACATGGGAAGAAATGCTCTATCACAAATGAGTAGCTTTATTAGCCATTAGGATCACCTCTTAACATCTTGATTCCCTCATATGCGATACTGCCACATAGTGCAGATCATGTGAGCAATTGTTGTGCAATTTTCCCACATTCATTATCTTTGTTGAAACATTGTGTTCCCAACTGGAGGTTAAAATAAATTTCTGTGGCTTTGGGGAAAGCTGTGCTGTACAGCATATTTGGAAAACTGGAACCACTGGCTGGTACTATAAAATTTAAGAGATAGTTTAAAAAAAAACTCCAACTCCACTCACTTAGTTTTAAAGTCTTCAACCAGGCCTGTCATGTGATTCAGGTCAGATTCCAGTTTGGCTTTTTCATGGCCCAAGCTGTCCAGCTGCTTACGCAGGTTGGCAATGTAGGCTTCGAACATGGCATCAATGTTGGAGCGAGATGTGGTCTGTTCCTGCACAAGTTTCCACTTGGTCTCAAGCATTTTGTTTTGTTGTTCTAGGAAGCGTACCTGGAGACCGAAAAGATGACGAGTGATTAAAAAAAGAAGAAAAAAAAAGACAGTAGTAAACAATGCCGTAATGCTTGTGGACAACAATAGACAGTAATGTATGGAGAGGGGGGTCATTGAGGCATGTGGCGGAAGGAGAAAGAATGTAAATAGTGGATGGGAGTGACTCAGAAAACATGAATGGCTTTGTTTGCTGCTGGACAGCAACACACATGAACATCAGCTGGAAGAAAAATGACTAATTGACCTTCTCCCACCTCCAGTGACCTCTAAATGTCCCATCAATTACTCCTCTCTCAAGCTGAACCCATAATGCCGCAGTTCAACACAATGTGGCACTGTTTCCCAATTGTGACACACTTCGCCCCTTTACAACTTTTCTATTCAGCGTCCTGACCCTGGGTGGGGTCCTGCTGCTGCTCAGCAAACGAGACGAGGGACACACAGCTCACACACAGTGTGTGCATGTGCTGGTATCACTGTGGTATGCAGAGGAGGGAGAGATCGAGCTTTGTTTTACGATCTGAGGAAAAAAAGTCTGAATGTGATTGATTTACAAGTTAACTTCTACCCCACATTACTTCTGGGTACCTCATTAAAAGAGAGATGCCATTTATGAGTTACAGTGACAGATAACTGAAGGTTCTGTTCAGTCTCTGGGAGAAAACACTGCAAACTTCTGTCGCTTGATTGATAAGATGCCCTATTTCTCTCCCTTGCTAACATTTCAGCAATCTATGTTTGATAGAGGTTGTATAGCAATGATTTATAATACTGTCAGGGAAATGGCTTTGTTGACCATTTTATAGACTCATAAAATGGCCATTCTTACTGTTTGTCTACTTTTTATGCTAGAGCGATCTATTCCACTTTTTCCCAACTACTCCCACGATTTTTTTCTTTTGTTCATATCACCTGTAAATATTTAGGAAACTAACTTTGAAAATAGCTTGCTAAAATTTCATTTACCAAGGATAGATTCTTCACACGAATGCAAGAAGACACCGTGTACTTTCATTGCTATTCGTTTTTGCAGGTTATTGCTCATATGGGGGGGGCACGCCTTCAAGCAAAATTGTTCTGTTCCTCTGTACCCTGTATCCAGGTTGATCCTCTTATCTGAGCTCTATGATCTCATCGGGGAGTGAAAACATTTGAAAAAGCTAAGCCAATACGCAATACAGACTGTATCCCCCTATGATTTGCTGTACAGATGGCATATTGTTGTATGCACAGTTTGAATTGTCTCAAGAGTGAGCTCCATTGTGAAATCAGACCTCGTCTCCTTCACCTGTTTTGGCTTGCAGCACACTAATTTCCTCTGCAGTCCCTGTGCTCTTTTTTCACTCTGTTTGGAATTTAGTTTCATCCCACCAGTGATGCCAACAGGACAATAGTGTATTGTTTGAACTATGAAGTTATAAAAGTGTGCCTACCTGATGTTGCTATTTTGTCAGTTTTTATGTTCAAATACAACATTTCCTGCTAAAAGAATGAAATTCATCTTTAATGTCCCATCCTAAATATGCATGGACTGACCTTGTCAATGAAGGAAGCAAATCGGTTGTTCAGGGTCTTGATCTGCTCCTTCTCCTGGGTGCGGACAGCCTGGATGGTGGGGTCGATCTCCAGGTTCAAGGGGGCCAGCAGGCTCTTGTTCACAGTCACTGCTGTGATAGGGACATGAGCCACTTCATTGGCCATTCCACCTCCCATACCTCCACCATAGCCTACATAGCCAAACTCCACTCCACCTGCTCTCTGTCCAGATCCCCCAGCAGCATACCCACCAACCACCTTAAATCCCCCTGCACCCATAGCAGCACCACTGCTGCCCACTCCCCCATAGGAGCTGCGGACAGCGTAGCTCTGCCTGCCACTCCCCACACCACGGCCTCCGTAGCTAGAGAAGGAGCGGCTGCTGAAGCCCTGGTTTGGACTCCGGGAGGTCGACACAGTGGAGTAGGTGGTGGTCTTCAAGGCTCTGACAGACATGGTCACAGAGGGGGTCTGTAGTGCTGAGGTGGTGCAAGAGGAGAGACTCTGCTGAGGGAAGGAGAGTCAGGCAGATAGACCCTCCCTGGTCCTCGGTGCTATTTAACAGAACAGGGGAGGGACCCTGCTGAGGTGCGATTGGCTAGTGTCCTCGGTAGGGGAGTGAAGGATGAGGGGGGAGAAAGAGCAAGAGGGGGAGAGATGAGGGAATGTCAGGGAAGAAAATTGCATCATGTTACGCATTTACGGCACAGTAAAAACACAAGAATTACATAATAATCCGTTTGGTAGTCGCCATAAAACTACTGCATGGGAAAACGTATGAATTTATCTACCTTCGCACATGTGTGAACTTGCTTTTTCCACATTTCCCAGGGACAAATACCTTTCCCCTATTTTGCCACAATTCATTTATATCTTACTTTATCAGCATGGATGCACAAATGCCTTGTGGTGTTGTCTAGACAAAAGCATGCACACACAGCACCAGAATGTAGAGTCAAACCTTGGGTATAATGAACAAGCACATCGTTTTATGAGCTTCTCTTTTACTTTACAACACTTCTCACAGACGTGACATATTGCAGATGAAATTGTGGTTGGTCAGTGAGTGTGATGTCCTTAACTGTTGGTGGGCAGCAACTGTATGTCTAATGACTGTGGGAGTAACACAGTTACCCAGTGAATATGTTCCACTCAGATGAATGTCTCCAAGAGTCTTTGCACACAACATTTATCAACAAAAATTATTGAAAAGCATAAAAGTGGGGAAGACTTCCATCCATACCTTAAACCTACATTTAAAATGAACATATTGCACAATTATATGATGCATTGTGCAGGTTGTTTCCATTATCAGCTGTGATCGATGGACCAAACAATCTTACACACACACACACACACCTACACACACACACACACACACACACACACACACACACACACACACCTACACACACAAACACACACACACACAATGACTATTGATATGCATTCCTTCCATACCAGTCAGGTGAAGAGCAAACAGAGTTTGTCTCTTTGTTTTACTGCAGACCCCACCTCAGTCCTAAATAGCTTTCCCCACCTGTAGAAATACTGATAAAAAACCCATGAAATACTGAGACTGCATGATGGATGGATGGATGGATGGATGGATGGATGGATGGATGGATGGATGGATAGATAGATAGATAGATGGATGGATGGATGGATGGATGGATGGATGGATGGATGGATAGATAGATAGATAGATAGATAGATAGATAGATAGATAGATAGATAGATAGATAGATAGATAGATAGATAGGTAGATAGATAGATAGATAGGTCAGTCTGTGTGTTTGTGTTTCCATGGTTTCACATATTTAAGACCAAAACACACTTTTAGTAAGGCCTCATCAGTTTACCTTATTTAAAACATGAACTCATCCATCATCTCACTGTGGAAATCATGATTCACTTGTCAGATTTGACAGATTTATGACTGATGATGTTTTTGAGTTTTTAATTGACTGTTGCCAAATATAACCAGAGTGACCCCCCACCCCCCCAGTTCACTCCCTCAACCAACATTTTCAACACACCGCTGTTCTTTTGTTTTGCAGGTTTTATGTGTTCGTGAAAAAAAACAGACAATTAAATTATTTACCAGCTTGTGAAAAGATACTTGGTACACCGCTATGTGCAAACTAAATGTGAACAAGCAGATGAGGCACATGTTGTGAAAAGTCCAACAGGACTTGCAGGCTTTGGACCAATCAAAAAATGCATGTTTTGCTTGGCTAGTCTCAAACAGTGACGTGATCCTCCACAATGGAGCTCTTGTGCTAAACTTGGAGGCAACCATATATGTACACGGCAACCAGGTTTTGCTGTTTCATTAGCTCCGGCTCTCTGACCAACAACAGCTGATGAACAGAGATGCTGTTGTTGTACTTTCGATAACTTAAACGTAATTAAAGTTGAAGATTTCTCTGCGTGAGGAAAGCAGGATGGTAATTTAACAATCTGGCCCTCTGACCTTAAGTCTCCCAAGAGGCCAGTGATGCTTTGGTTTGAGTGAAGCTGCTATATGACACATCAAGACAGGAATGTGCTAAGAGAGACACATACATGCGACAAGTCAGAGAGGAGGGGCGGTGAGAAGTTGAGCTGGTGGAGCATATGAGAAGACAATTAGCAAAGATAAGAAACAAACCTATTTCACAACCACTGACAGACTCTCTGGGATGTCTAGTAAGGACAGGGAGGGATGCATGACACTGCACAGGAATTTAAAGTAGACTAAAGCAGTTTTAACTGACGTCAGCATACATGTCATAATAATTAGCTCATGATAAACTTCATCATCTAGTATTTGATGCATGACACCAACAATACAAAACACAAATATTTGTGAAAAAATTGCAAAAAACAAAGAAAAACAGAAAAATTCTAAATGCCACGAACGCCTCTCTGCATAAACACATTTTAGTCAGTGATGTTGTTGGTTTCGTCTTTGGTCTTAAAGTTGGACTTTGTGTTCGCGAGGGTCCTGCCAAGCCTACAAAGCAATCAGACGTATCTGTTGTAAAAGTCCCTTCCTGCTTCACCGTCTGTTGCCTGTTCAAACAAAGAACCTCCACAACAGACATGAATGAAATCCTCACAGAGGCACCGAGCAGAGAGCTAAGTAAACTCAATGCACATAAACTCACTGTAACAATACAAATCCTGCAGAAAGCCACCTCTTAGTGGGCTTGTTTGCTTTGAGACTTATGCCCCCTAGTGACTGGATTATGAAGGTGTATGTTTTTCGCTAAAGCAAACTGCACAGGAGGAATGGAATGATGTGTTAGTAAGGTAGAGACACAGTTTCACAGCTAGTCTACTTAATGCAACATGAGCCATACTGAAGGATGTTGTTGATCTTGTAGCTACATTAGCAGTGTGGCTCTGCAGATGAAAGTGCTGGTGTACTTTTTGTGCATTAATCTGGGCCTGACTGACACATCTTAACAAACTTACAAAAAACAAATAAGAAAGTAATTATTTGCAGTATCATCAACTATTTTGATATTGGATTAATCTATTTGAGTATTTTTTTTCGTCTAAATTCTCTGATTCTGCCTTCTTAAATGTGAATGTTCTCCATGTAGTTTCTAGGTTATGACATGACATTTAAAGACATCATCCTGTTCTTTTGAAAACGCTGACTGGCATTTTTCAGCATTTTCTTACATTTTATAAACTAAACAAATAATCAATTAATCGAGAAAATCAAATGGACAGATTAACCAACAATGACAACAGTCATTAGCTGCAGCTCAAATGGATTGCCATGACATTTGGTGCAGATATTTATGGCCCCTACAGGATGAAACCCAGTGAGTTTGGTGATTCTCAGATTTTTCCTCAAGTGCCACCAAGAGGTTGTCAGTTTGGAGTGTGAGTAAAATACCGTGACAACTGTTGGATAGAGTTAGATATCCAAGAGGATACATTAGATAATGATTCAACTTTTCATCTCACAATGACACCAAGTCAAAATGTTTCTTTTTCCAACATTGCATTTTATGAAGACCTTCCTGAGACGCTGAGCATAGCTGCTGTGGCTTAGTACAGCCTGGCAGACTTTATACTTAGTTTGCTTGTTGTGTGTCTCTATTACACTTGATCTGATTTTGTTTACTTTTATAAATTTTGTTTAAAAAGATGTGATATGTTAAGATTTATCAGACTTTTCCTCCTGCATGTACCTTTACAATTCTTAAAAAAAGGAACTGCCATTTACATCATACAGTTATTTAAATGTCCATTTGTGTGCTGACATTTCTCTTTTAATAACTTCCTTAAACAAAACTAATTATTTATCTCCATGTGAGAAACGGTCAAGTAAGAGAATCCAGCTTGTAACTTTTAGCTCTTGCTCCTTTTATGTCTTCCTGTGAAATGTCTTTGCACTAGAAATGGACATGACATCCCGCAGAGAAAATGCCTCTCAGTCGACACATTTCACTGACCTCTGATGTGTGACCCTTTCCACTCTGCTAATGGTCTGGGCCATAAAATTAGAATATAAATGCATATAAACGATGAACAAATTGACTTCTTTGGTGCTTTTGAGCATCTCGGGTGAGTCATTGAGGGAGTGACAAAGAGAGGAAGGGAGGATGCAAGGAAGTGACTGAGTAAGAGTGCATCACGCTCACATGCATGCTAGCATTCCTTCATACATCTGTTATAAAGAGCACGCCATGTGTTTAAATATGCATATGCATCTATGCAAATACATATTTTTGTCTTTGTATATATGTGTGTGAGAGCACTCAGTCTGCAGTGGAGCTGGATGAAAGTAAACCACACAGAGAAAGAGGGAGGAGAGTAAAGTTTATTCGAGGCCACACCAGAACAGTAATGATCTGACAGCTGTCCAAGATTTGTGAAGCATATAAACTCTTGTAGTAGTTTCCAGATTTGTGTTACTATGACTCACAGACTCCATCTTGTCCAGTTTTCCTCTACTTTTTTTCCTGTCTTATCTTTGGGGGGAGGTGCAATTCAAATCCACATTATTGCAAGTGGAAAAAAAGATGAGGAGGAATCAAAAAACCTCTTCGTATAAAGGCAGAAGTAGCTTTTATGACATAAAAATGCAGTGTGGATATGTTATATGAAATGAGTGGGTACGGTTGTGTTTCTACTTCTCAGTTCCTAGTTGGGCGTCAGCGGGCGCAGCAATGTTGCCAACACACATTCAAACAGAGAAGACAGTGGCGACACTGTCATGAGGTATGAGTCATGTTGATTTAATTCATCGTTCCTCTAATCTGTACAACTCACCAGAGTTGTCTTTGCTTTTTTTTTTTTGCTACTCTGCAGTGTTTTTCTTCTTTTTTGGAATTACTAAAAGAAATTAGCAAATAAATACACAGTAAGGGTTGCTGGGAGGAGGTGGTATGATGCGTGAGAAACAGTGAAAGCTGATCAGCTATGAAGGTGAGGTAGGATCAGAAAAGAAAAGATCTAGGTTGTAAGGGAGCTCAGAGGGGTGTAGGAGTCTTTGGAATTTCCCCCCCTGTGGGTTGTTCATTTGGTTTTATT